CATCTATGTTTGTGTTGTTAATCTTTCTTATATATTGGTATAGGATGCTATTTATTTCATTCTGATTGCAAGGTAGTCATGAATATTGACAACGTTGGTTCGTACAACATGTTTTAAACTAAACATTGTCTAAAGTTGTGGATCATTTTACTGTTTTTCTGAACCAGTGGCGAAACCATTTTCGATTCAAGAAATTTTAATCTGTATTTTAGTAATTGTGCACTTTTAATTATGCAAATGTTATAATTATCGTATGGTACCGCTAAAAAATCGATGGCTGCTGCTTTCAGTTACAGTAGTTCATATAACTGCTTTTCTTGCATTGATTTGTAAATGCTTCGTTGCATGTTGCAAATATGATTATTTAACGTGAATGCTAGATTCTCTTGATAGCAATTGTTTAGTATTTTGGAACCATTAATTTTAATTGTATTTCTTAAGGCAGTGTGAATTATTAAGCAATATTCTGTTGTAGCAGTCCTTACGTTTCTTCTCGTAGCTTGGCATATGTTAAAGTAAAATTTACAGTACACTACTCTCTGAAATTCTTTCTGACGTTTCGTTTACAAAGGCTGTCAGAATTCTTATTGTCATCGAATGCTGAAGTCACTCTTTAGTGTTTGGTAAAACTGTCTGTCATCATTTAAAGATCGTTTCGACAGCTGATTGTTCGTTCATTCAGTTGGTAGGTCAGTCAACTTTGTTCTGTCGTTTAATAATATTTCTTTCCTTGAGTCATTCAACCATTAATTCAATCATTGTTTCGTTCTGTCAGTCGGTAAGTCAGTAATGAGTAAGATGCTTCCAGATCTGAAATTTCACTATTCAAACAGTCAGTGAAATTTACATGAATAAACCTTAAGGCACATTATAATTTGCCAGAGCTCTCAATATAACAATTAACAAGCACTAAACAACAAAGTCAGCCGTGAAAGTGAATTAGTACTAGGCCGACTGAGTCTGTTTAAAAATGTTAGTACTTTTTTGGAATCGAACGGACGTCAGACAGCGAACGGAACGACTTACCTTAGGTAAACCTCACTTAGGCAGCTGCAGCGGAAGTACAGAGATCATGCGGTTGGCTGCTTCGAAAAGCACTGCTGGAAACCTTGGTACGGCGAGTTGGTTAAATCACTTAGAATAGAACTGACCAGAGCAACCGTTGTCTTTATCAAGCATCTGGTTAGAATACGAGCCAGTTGTTTTTTTCAGAAGTTGAGAAGATAAGAGCGGTAGAATGCTGGATTTAAGGAAGACTTTCTGCACTTTTGAGCCAACGCAAGGTCTCCTCATTCTGCAAACACCGAAACTGATCATCGCGCTTTGTCAATCAGAGTCTGACCAAATTATTTTGCCGCTGAGTTTATTTCAAACAATTCGCGGAAGTTTGCGGTAGATAAGGGGACAGCCAGTTTTGTACAGATTCTTGTGCATTGGAAGTTACAGTCCACAGATTTTTTTCGATTACGTGTTAGGCCATTGTCTATTCCACTCATTCAGTGCCAAAACTTTTGAATA